CATTACTTGCTTTCTCATTCTGTTCCCTTCAAGGCTATGTTGAATTGTTCAAGGTCGCTCACAACACTCCCTGTGAATCTCACAGATGACATTTTATTGGAAACTGAATTCTCACTGAACCTGCATTTTCTGATGCAAAATATGACTTAGAGACGTCTTTTGCCAAATTTTTTTTAAAAGGAGGGAGGTTGATTTGGTGGTGAAAGACAACTGTTTTGGAATTACTCAAGTCGTCTTTTTTGTAAGACGATGAAAAGCTTGCACCCAAGAACACGGGGAGCTTTCTTCATTTCATGCGGCAGAGCAGACTGATGTTAATGATCTGCGATGAAGTGGTTGGTTGGAGCTTTCTGTGTATTGAAGGTGACGTGGGATTGGGGGGAAAAAGAAAAAAATTACATTTCAAATGTACAAAGGCTGGGTGCTGAGCTGGTTTGGTTTCCGATCTGAATTTTGAGAACTTGTCGCAACAAGCTATAGATGTGCAGTGGGAACTGCTCAGAGTGGGTTTTGTGGTGTACTCAGCTCCTCTTCCTTCCACTCGTGTTATAGATGAGTGGGCTGTAGAATGCCATTCTCCGATGGCTGTAGGGTAAACTGCGAAAAGGTCTGCTTCTGCAGATAGAATGCCGTTTGCGTTTTGGTTTTTTCCTTCACTTACGTGCATGCGAATCTGCATTCATGTAAGATTTCTTTCTGCTCCGCCATGCCAGGCAGACAGGTCACGAATTCTAGCACAATAAACCGTTTTCCTTTCTCCCCTGCTGCAGCGCCAGAGGTTTGGGGCAGCTCATTCGAGCAAAGAACATTAAGACAGTGGGTGATCTGAGTACTTTGACAGCATCAGAAATCAAAACTCTTCCCATCCGCTCTCCAAAAGTTTCCAATGTTAAAAAAGCTCTTAAAGGATATCATGAGCATCAGGTAAAGTTTAATTTTTGTACCCAAAAAGCCAATATTAGCCTAACGAACTGCTGACATCCCATCGTGGGTTCCTCCCCCTGCGTTAGAAATAGCACTTTAAAATGTAATCTCTACCTGCCACAGCAATGTGGGAATTCAAGGTACGGATGACTTGGTTACAATATTTTTAATGGGAATAATGATTGATTGTATTCTGAGAAACATGTCCCAACATGTAATCTTTTTCTTTCTTTTTTTTTTTTTTTCCCCTCTGAAAACGCATCTCTTGTTTTCTTGCAAAAAATCTTCAGGCAAAATCTCAAGGATTTCAGGAAATAGCAGCACTTGAAGAGGCAGAAAAGCCCCTAAATAATGTAGAGGATAAGTCTCTTTCTGCTGATGAAGAAAAACTTGCCACAGGTACCTATTGCCCCCTTTTTGCTTAGGATTTGGATGTTTCTGCTGTATTGCTGCTTTCATTCTCTCCTAACGGGAACACTTGATCTTGGGTTTTTTAGGGTTTTTTGAAGAGTGTTAGTAGTTAATGTTAGCACATTAGATGGGTGTTTGAGATAGCCACTTTATGAAGCTCTGTAGCAATGGCTTTTTAAAACTTACTACGTATTTTGAGGGAAATTGAGTTTGGTTTTCCCTAAACGAGCTTACATAAGTATGTGAAGAACAAATTAGGCCGGGCTCTAAGTACCTGGTTTTCTGGATCTCAACCAGGTATGTCTCCTGAGCTGTTTAATTCCGCAGTAACTGCTGTGGTTCTGGGTGCGTGCAGAAACAGGCAAGATGAAGTAGAGATACTCAACTGGTGCCTCATCCTGAGGGGGGTGGGACAGGAGGGGGAATGATTCCCTGAATCCCCACGTTGGATTTGGGTGCTTGGATTTTTATTTGAATTCTCCTGTGCTTTTTTGTGAGTTTGGCCCAATAACTTAAACAGAGGAATCCGTGTTTGTTCGTCCTACAAGATGCTTGAAGCATTTGGTTAACTGGAGAACAGAGAACTCGGGAGTAACGTCAGCTGTCCAGTTTAAAAGTGGGACTTTGGGATAACACGTCTTGAAGGACACTGGCAGTATCTGAATACGATCAAACACTTCCATTTCTGACCTTAGTTTTATTGTGCAGTCATGATCTAACATAAGGAAAGTCACCGTAAAGAAGGGTAGTGTGGAGGTCTGAGGGCTGCCTTTGTCAGAAGCTCCCATATCGTGTGGAACAAACGCTTTGTAGACTGCTGGAATGTGTTATTTTGTACAAAAAAAGCTGTAACATTCTGCCGTGACACACTTCTGCTTGCATTTAACTCCAGACACACAAACTGCACTGCCCTACTTCCCTTCCTTTTCAGACTTGATCGAACCACTTGTCATGAATACAAATGACCAGCCCACAGCAGATCTTCTGAGCCAAATCGATTCACTTGCTGCTCAGCTGACCTCCGAACACCTGCACGGCTATTCAGGGAGCCAGCTTTTTGAGATGCAAGAAAAACTCGTCGGCATGACAAACTGTATCATGAAAAACCTGCAGTCCCGCTGGCAATCGCCACCCCATGAAAGTTCTGATTAGTTGCTCATCACTTCTAAGTAAGGAGGATTTTGTTACAATAGTTTTCCCAAAAACCTGCTTTTCTTACTGATGAATTATTCCTTAAACTGTGCATTTTGTACTATAGAAGATTTTTTTAACACCTATATGAGCAAAATGTATTGTGGTTTTTTCCTTGGGGTTTTTTTTTTGGTTCTAATTTGTGGGATTGCTTATTCCCTACTAGAGGTATTTGTGTTGTATTGCTATGCATATTTCTTTCAGGTAGTGAAAGAAAACTTGATAAAGTTGTGCAATAGCAAAGACTGTGAAACCAAACCGACAGAGTAGTTGAAATTTTTTCAAATCCAAAGTGTTCTTACTGCTGCAAACTCTTACTGTTTGGTAAGAGGTCGATCTCACAGCTGTGCTCAGCCGCTGCCGCTGTTTGTTTCCTTTGAAGCTGCTGAAATTCCGACAGACAGCAGCTCTCTTTTAAGCACTCTTTTATAGTGAGATAAGCTGTGCTTAATTCCTTACAGCAGCAACATTCCAGGAACCTGGTATTCGACAGCAGGACGACATCTATTTTTGCATGTATTTTTGTAAGAATCACACTAAGGAGCTGATAACGAAATGTACCCTTACAGGCGAAAGACTTGGCGAAACTTCTCAGGCTTTTTCCCGTGTTCTTTGTTTCCAGCAGTTCTCCTTCTGTGGAAAAGACTTTTTTCCTTGGGGAAATGAATGGATTTGACAAGAGCTCTTTGTATATTATGTACAGACTTATCATGGCAAATGTTGGTTAATAATTTATGATTTTGAGTTTTAAGTGCATGGAATGCATTGCTGCTTCTCAGAGACCTTCTGAGAGAGTTCTCAGGATTTACTCTGGAAATCCGATTTGTATATATTGTACTGTAGCCATCAAAGTGGACGTTTATTGAAAGGGATTGCTGCAGGTGGTTTTAGAACTTACACGTGGGCAAATAAAATGGCAAATAGTCCCCAACCTGGTTAATGTCACTGTGGTTTGGTGGGTTTGGGTTGCTTTTTTTCCCCCTTCGGATTTGTTCAGCCCTCCCTCAGCATTGCTTTGGATTCACAAGGTTGGGAGAGGCCTTGGAAGGTCAGCGCTGCCACCTCAGGGCCGCGGTAGGATCTTGCCAGCAGGACTCTACATCGTCTTTGCCCTCTTCATGCATCTCGTGAAGAAAACGAACAGGACAAAGAAGGGTCTGGCGCTGCTCGCCTGAGAGCACCAAGTGACACGTTGTCAGTAGGTTTTTTTCTTGCTTCCTTGAAAATGTTATTTGGGTTCCAAATCTGCCTCCTTAGGCTTGTTCAGCTCTTGTATCCAGTGACCTGTACAGATACAGATGTTCCTAACGCATCTCGAAAGGGCGTTAACATCCTTCTTTAACTAACACCCTTCGGTGCTGGCAGTCCTGAATGCCGCTCTGAGGAAGGACGTTTCCCTTTCACGCGGTTGGGTACGCCAGGCCGTGCTGCGCCTTCCCTTTGAACGAAGGCCCTCGGTTAATGGTACCGCTCCTTCTCCTGTTAACTGGTTTTTAGCCTTTAGTTTGTCTTGGACACGGTATACCCTGTTCTCGACTTCCCTCTTCCCTGGAGCCTGGCTGGTACCGGGGGCTTCAGTAGATGAAGCAAATAACCGCTGTGTTCAGGTATGAAATAACTTGTCCAGTTCACTCGCAGCCCCGCAGGGTTTGACTTCCTTTGTGGCTGTTGCATCCTCCATCACCACCTGCGTTCCTTCCCCTTTCGCAATAAAGTTTTTGGAACAAAGCCAGTTTGTGAGATCGATTCTTACTCTTTAGCATGAGTGAATACATCAAACGTACTGCAGAAACATTAGCTTTATTTAGTCACTAATTTACAAGTAATAACAGCTTTTGACCCCAGAACAGTTGCATGAAAATCACATGCGTAAGAGCTCAGCAAGCAGAAGGAGAGCCTTTTGGGTTTGGTGGTTTGGGTTTTTTCTTGCCCCTCCCCTAGCTAAATGTTGGTTTGAGATATTAAGCCTAAATGTTGCTTATATGGAAAAGAAGTGAATACATTCAAACATTTTAGAATAGCCCAGAAAAATACTCTCTTTACAGGAGAACGAATAAAGTAATAGGTGGTTGTCTTAGTCTTCAGTACCTGTGTAGAACTGTGGATGCACTGACGGGGATGGCAGTTCTGGCGCAGTTAAACACTGTGATGCTCTGTGATGGCGAAATGTTTGAAAGTCCAGGCAATGTTTAAAAACATTATTTTGGTTTTTTTGGACACTGGAAAAATACAGTTCTTGTGAGCAATGCCTGGTAATGTGTTTACAGGCAGTTTTTAAAAATGTTTTGAAAGGATGTTTGAAGTGTATTTTGCTCTGCAGTTACTTTTTTTTTTTCCCCCTCCCGCCCCGGTTCATAAGGCACTATCCACATGGAAGACAATAAGGCACTTTGGGAAAAGTGTTACGACCCCTTTTGTAAGGCTTACGTTTTGAGACGTGCCGGCATGTCTGTGCCATGTGGATACGCTTTATGGAAGGATGTGTTTTGGTTTAGACAGCTTCTACGTAGTTGGCGGGCAGCATGCCCGTCTTGCCGGTTCTCTGGACAGTGCCGTACATCCAGCCTTCATCGATTGCTTGTACGTTTACAATTGTGTCGCCGTCTTTGAAGGAAACCTCATCGGCGTCAGCTGCCATGTAGTCGTACATGGCCCGGTAGGTCTTCTGTTAGTTTTAAGAAAGGGGTGGGGGCAAAAAGGGAAGAGACACGTTTAGACCCCGGCTCAGCACCGACGGCCGCAGTTGCTCAGAATCAAAATGTCCGAGCAGGCTCAGGGCAAGTTACTTTTTTGACTCATTTCAGTACTCCCAAAGCACTGCTGAGGGGAGGAGCGGGCTGGTCTCAGTCTCCTGGTTTGAGACCCCAAAATGGTTGTTCTCAATCCCCAAGTACCTCAGCTGCCCCGGTACCACAGTGCCTGGGGTTAGAGCCCGTGTGTTGGTGACACTGAAGCTGAACTTTAAGGCGTTGGCTCCTCGCAGATGTTGTGGGGAGGCGATGCCATCCCCATTGTCATACACCTAAGCCTCAATCTCGGGAGTAGGAAGAAGTGTTAATTTAAAGTTTTCAAGAACAGACGAGGGTCTGCCCCGCTTCAATGAATCTGTTAGACCTTCACCTGGCTTTGTACTAAGCTTCAGCCCAACTCCATCCTGGCTTAACGTCCTCCATGCACCATCAGCTACTGGAGACCTCCAGGGCCGTGCGCCTTTGGTAGGCAGCGAAATGAACTCCTGCAGCAAGCTGGGGCTTGCGTGTCTTAGTGCAAGGGACCAACGATACTTACACCAGCAGTAGATGGGTGAGAAGGGACCGACGATACCGTCGTTTGCTGGGTGGCAACGGACGATGACCGTTGTTGTGGTAACTCTATGGTTTTAACATGTTTGTAGCCCACTACAAAAGGAAAATGCACTATGTATTATTTGTTACAGAATTGGCAATAGGGTTAGAATTGCTCTGAACAAAGATCGTGGGATGGGTCATTAGGTGGGTCAAATCGGCCTTTTACCTACTGAAATACAACTTTACGTCTGGTTGTTGGTTATGTCTGTAACTCAGTATTTTCCAGGTGTACTTCTGTGTTTTTACCTGGCTACCAGAATTACTGAACATGAGCCCATGACCAGTACTGCCCTGCCAGATGGTCCGGATACCGTTTGTGCTCATACGTGAATAAATGGCGTGTTTGTTCTCCTCCTACCTGTTGCAGTTGCGGCAAAGAAGCCCCCGTTGCTGTAGTAGGACAAATGTTGATCCACGCCATCCGAGGGTTCGGATTTTTCGTCGCCGCCGCTGAGGCTCAAGGCACTGGCAGAGCGGGAGTGCTCCCGGCTGCGGCGCTGGGCTTGGACTGCAAGGAGAAAGCAGGGGGAACCAATTTATGTCTTTGTTTGGGAGGGAGATGCATGCTTAAAAATACACGTGTATATACATGCGTACACACGCACGTATATCTATTGGTTACTTTCTATATATACACACAGATATGGATGCGTGTGCATACATATTCTGTAAAAATGCCCAAATCTCTGTACCATTGTTAGCAAACCCACAGAAGTTGTGCTTATATTGAGTACAAAACTGACACAGGCCGCAGGCGTGCTAAGCAGAGCTGGTTACTGGGTTTTTATCAAGTTTATGGAAAAAAGCGTGTGAACTAATCACAGTCTATTTTTGTGGTTACTCAATGGTATTTGCTGGTGCTTGTTAAAAGTCTTCTGTGGACACCATGCTGCAGTTCTACTTGAAAAGGCACAGTTACTATGTTCCTGCTATCTTGAATATTCAGATTTTTTTTTTTCTTTCTCCAACCTCCTTCCCTTTAGTGCTAGCTACTTCCAAGATTTTTATTCTGATTACCCCATGCTTTCCTTCATCAGCTGGCACAGATCTGAGCCATGCCTGAGACTCTGTTTTCTGTCATTCAGGATGCATCTCTTCTCAATTAGCAAAAAAAGGAGTTCAAAAAAAAAGGCAACTGAGGAACAGTATTTTAGAGTTATTTAAAAAGGAAGCACATGTTACAGGTAAGCAACTGTATCACGCTATCTGTGGATCATACAATCCCCTTCATACCTGTGTTAGATCACTTGGATATATAAAATAGTAAGATTAACAACATATTTTTTAAGAAATAGCTATATTAAATGTCTAGCTACATTTATGTAGCTAGAATAAATATAGTTATGCTGGGGAGAAGGAACTATAGACAATTTCTCTTCTAGATACCATTAATTTTCACAAGAATTGTGTCCCTGTGTAACTTTTCAAACCCCGGCTCCATTTAACACAGCGTCTGAAGTCAGCGCGTAAGACTACACTTGTGTTCTTGCATAGGTAGAGCGCTAAGCTGTACTTGAGTATCCCCACGCTGTCGGATTAGTGATTGGATTTGCACAAGTATAAAACCTATTTTGCACAAAGAGTACAGACTGTGGAACAAACCAGAGATCATATGTAAGCTTCTGGACTGAATATTGTCTTCTGCTGGGTCGTAGTCAAAGACTGACCCGGGATTAGTGCGCCACACACGAAGACCTGTAAGAGAAATAGCATTTTCTGAGGCGTAGCTGTAGCTCAAGCAACTTTTAGAGATCTTGAGCACCACATGTCTGTCCTGACTAGGAGTAAAAGCATATCAGAGAAGGGCAAGCAGTATTTCATAAATTTTTGTTTCTCAAATCTATAGCACAGGTTAGGCTTTTTTTTTTTTTTTTTTTTTTAAATTTAATCTACATCAAGTGAGCTAAGGTATTTCTCTAGTATGCATAGAGATGAAGTTATAAGTAAAAAATGTAAATCTAGCATTACATGATAAAGTTGGGCAGAATGGGACAGGCAGGCCACGCATGATTTACAGCAGCTATAAGAGAGTATTTTCAAAATGGACTTTGATAAAAACATCACCTCTAAGTAATGACAAATTTGAATTGATATGGCTGAGCTTAACTAAAACAACTCATCCAGGTCAGCCTGTGTTTTGTGTAAGTGAAGTATTCTAGTCGTTATAAAACCTACGTTCTGCTTACCTGTGAGATTCTCTTGATCCTGGTCCACACGCTTTCGCTCCATTTCTACGACTCGCCTTTGAATGCCCCTGTAGCTGATGTCACTGAAGTCCTGCATGTTCTTTTTCACCCGTTCTGTAATGGGGTCGGTAACTACCGGTGTGAAACTACCTTTGCTTTTCTCAAAATCTTCGTGGTATTTCACCTGCAATTTAAAATGAAATGTCTGTTCTCTGTAGCTTAGATGAGTAATTTTTGTTCCTGCTTACCTCAGGTGAATTTCTAGTAGAGAGGTGCACTGCTGTTCTGAACTTCTGCTTTCTCCAATCCGAGGAACAATGAGAGCACCTAATCCCAAACATGCCTTTCCTGCAGTGACTCTTGCCTTTAGCATTTAAGAATTTGGGTAACTAAACTTGGTACAGCTACATTGTCCTTGAGCTGCCAACCCCAGAACATCTCAGGAGCAAGGTTATGTTTTTATTTAAATCAAGTGCCAAGTTAAAAATACACCTAGAAATGCTCTTACTGTAGAGATGTGTTTCTGAGTCTCTCGTACACGCCGCATTTCAGGTGTGTCCAGTACGTACGCAGCTTTGCCTTGTACTTGTTTTCGGAAACTATCTGAATAAAGAACCTGCCAGATGAGAAAAAGGAAGTGAGCGCAGGGCCCCAAACTACTTTCTGCATCATGAGAAATCAGCTGCACTGAAGCAACCTGGCAAAGAAGGGGGGGGGACGCGCAGGGAAGAAAAGCTGCAGGAGCTGTGTTGGTGAATAACGTTAGAATGCGAAGCAAAATTCTTTTTCATAATTATATGAGACACAGACAGTTCTGGACTTGATCCTAAACACTCCTTTTCTTAACTAAAAGATCCTCATCTTCTTTAACCTTGTAACAACAGGTTATAATAATGTTCTAGGTAATATTGTCTGTTTCACAGCGATGAAGACAACACAATTAGACCTGTATTTTTCACAGCAGCACTACAATTTCTGCTGGGTTTGTAGAGTTTCTTTTTTTTGCGTGATAACAGTTGCATCATGCTTCTGTAAACATCTGCAGATGTTAAATTACCAGATGATTTAGCAAGCAAGTCATGAGAACATTCAAGGTCAGGCTGGACGGGGCTCTGAGCTACCTGATGTAGTGGAAGGTGTCCGTGCTCCTTGCAGGGGGAGTTGGAACTTGAGGACCTTTAAAGGTGCCCTATTCTATGAATCTATGATCTCTTATGTATATAAACATTTACAGGATGGGGTATGTCAGGATTTACCTCCGGTGTAAGAGGTTAGCAAAGAAGGGCCTAAAGGCGGCCATCTCCAGATTTGTCCTGGTTTTATACAGGATGTCAGAAATCTAACATGAATGATACTGTTACTGAAGAACGATCTTTTTATATGTAATACCATATAAGACTAGCAAAAACAGAAGATACTTGCAAGAGACTTTAAGGTAACTTATGTTATTTGAAATTCAACTGTTGTTTAAAAAAAACCACAAACAACTAAAGCAGTTAATCACACAGAAAGAAATAATTGCAGCAGAAAGTAAGAAGTAAGTATTAAAGGATTTGATTTTAGTACGGTTATTGCGTACTTCCAAACTAGGTAGCTAGGTAGTTATGTTAGCCTCTGCACTGTTAATGTGAGTGAGGATTTCAGGGACTGAAATGTTATTTTTTAATGCATTTTCATTTATTGGCTGAATAGAACATACCGAGCTGATGTTTTCTTGATTGCGTTTAGCTCTCTCCATCTCTGGAGTCATTGGTGTTGGAGTTCCTTTTGCCAGATGTTCCTTGTACAAAACCTACAGTGCACAAAACGGTGTCCACAAATCAGACTGGAATAATTCATAGCTCATTCCGTAAATGGTGTTACTGTTCAAGCATACTCATCACTGCAGGGGTAGAAAAGATCTTGGGAAATAAAGCATCTAAAAAGTTATTTGCTAGAGCAAAAGGTAAAAATCAAAGGGAAAAATAGGCAAAAATAAGGAAAGCTGAGAAAATAAGGCTAAATTAGAAGTGGAGGTTTTGTTCAGAATGGTTATTTTTAATACAAGGTGGTTGTCTGTCTTCTTTCAGTACCGAGCTAATGTGTTCTTGATTGCGTTTGACTCTCTCCATCTCTGGAGTGACCGATGTGGGGGTTGCCTTCCCTAAGCCTTCTTTGTATACAACCTACAGATCACAAAGTAACTCAAAGTCACGAAGTACAAATTAAAAACTGTAATGTTACTGGTTTTAGAGTAAACACCATCCATTATGAAAGAAAAAAAAAGGTCAGAGGAAAAATAGTATTAAGAAGTTAATTGACAAAAAAAAACCTTTTAAGTACTATAATTTTAAGAGATGACTTTCTAAGTTTGAGAAAAAAAATTAGAGGGTTAAATATAAAACCAGGCAGATTTAAGTTATTAAAAAAAAAAAAAAGTGCTCTATCATATCCCCTTTACTTCTTCCAGACAATACCGAGCTAATGTGTTCTTGATTGCGTTTGACTCTCTCCATCTCTGGAGTGATAGGTGTGGGGGTTGCTCGCCCCAAGTTTTCTTTGTACAACACCTGTGGGATACAGAAGATGTATCCGGTATCTTAAAAACCCCCCAAAATCAAAAGGATTTGAACACAAATTATTACTTTGTTACCAAGTTTCAAAAAAGTCACAACTGATTATGATATGCAGCACTGCACAAAAGCCAAACATCTACTGCTGTAAGAAAGGGTAAGAAAAGTAGACTGTAGAAGAAAAGCTTGTTATTTTTCTGGTTAAGAAAGAAAGGCTCTATCCAGCTACCACTACAACGATGGCTCATAGGCTCAGAGAAGCTGCCTGTGGCCCTAGAGAACTATTTAAGAAATGTTTTATCTGCTGTTTTATCTGTATTTGAAGAAATTTTTGGAAGGGAGGAGGGAGTTTTGTTGCCACACTGACACTGGGCAGCCAGGTAAAGAAGGGTGTTGAGGACGGGTGACTGGTATCACTGCACCATTACACCTACGCATCTCCCCAGTCCACGAGGCCACCTAAAAGCTATCGCTGATACGCCACCCGGAACAGGAACAGGCTCGTTCCTTTTCTGTCGTTCTGTTTAAGGCATCTTCAGTCACCTGTCACAGCAATACAATCTCACATGGATCAGACAGGTGGGATTTTTTCAGGATGGAGTGGTTGGGTTTCTTATTTGTTTGGTTTTTGCTAAAGTCAAATACCCCTGAAAAGCCAATGAAAGCTTAAACACTAAGCATAGAGAGATAAACCTGAGTATCTTCACCAAAGGATGCTAAGCTCTTAATATTGTCTGGATAGAGCCCACAGGTACACAAACTGTGTTGTAGAAAAGGCCTAAATTTCCGGATCAGACTGTTAACGCTAAAGTAATTTTATTTTAGAAGAGGAGCGATTAATTTGCAGAAACAATATATCTATTTTTTTTTCAATTAAAATCAACTTTCAGTAGGTAGTTAGAATGTTACTGTATTAAGATATAAGCACAAAAGAAAAAAGAATATATCTATTTTAAGGTACCGAGCTAATGATTTCTTGATTGCGTTTGACTCTCTCCATCTCTGGAGTGATTGGTGTTGGGGTCACTTTCCCCACATTTTCTTTGTACAAAACCTAGAGGATACAAGGGAGTATCCAAATATCATTGAAAAGGCACCACCACAAAAAAAAAAAAAAAAAAAAAAAACAAAAAAAACAACCAAAAGCAACCCAACAAAAATGACTCCAACATACAATATAGCTTTTGAACCATTACACTTAGAAAGGGTTAGATTTGGGGAACAATGCTGTTCCCAAAAGAAGCAATGGGAGCTTTGCCGTTAATCTGCTAGGATGCAGAAATGGACCCTACATGGAATGAACTCTGCATGAAAGCACACTTGTAGTGAGAAAGGGTTAAAAAAAATGCAGAGAAACAATATTCATCCAGAACAGGTCAAACCTTGTTCTAGTAAAATGCTTCTTCAGATAGTGTTAAATAGAAGGTATTACGATTTGTATGGAAGCACAGAAGATAGGAGGTTGATGCTACATGGCAGATTCATTTTATGAAGTTAGAAAGCACAGATTACTAAACTGCTACAGTTATGTTAAACACTTCACTCTGATCTTTAGGAACTGGTTTCCTGTTAAAAATACCGAGCTAATGATTTCTTGATTGCGTTTGACTCTTTCCATCTCGGGAGTGACAGGTGTTGGGGTTGCTTTCCCTATATTTTCTTTATACAACACCTATGAGACACAAGACAGGAGCCAAAGAAAGCAACAATAAATAAAATGCTATCCATAGACAAACTTAAAGCCTAAGGTGCTTTTTTCCTTGTATTTATTTTCTCAGGGCCTAGACATTTTATTTTTATTTTTATTTTTTAAAGAAGGTACTTAGCAATATTTTACTCGAGAAGTAGGGTTTGGCAGAGTAGCTTTTTAACTGCAGGATCACTTGTAATAAATAGCGTAAGTGCGTGCTTCATCAATGAGACCACAAAAACACCATATGGAGGGGCTGAGGCTGTTATGAATATGTAAATTATAATTATTTTTTTAAAAGAATGTCAGCATTGCAGAGAAAATGAGTGGAGTTTGTTAAGTGTTTTTAGGATTAGAATAGGGCATTAAAATCACTCCTAAAAAAAACCAATAAAAACTGTAAGAAGTTAAAGTCACCGCTGTAAACCACAGTAAGACACAAGTCAGAAGTAATCACTTCTGTAAGCTGCTTTATAGCTAAGGTCGGCATTATTTTGGAACAAATGTTACAATGTCCATTTATTAAAACTGTTAAAATGTTCTTTTAGATAGAGTTAAAAGGAACTTTTCTTTTTTTCTTAGCAAAGTACCGAGCTACAGATTTCTTGATTGCGTTTGACCCTCTCCATCTCTGGAGTGACAGGAGTGGGGGTTCCAGTCCCCACGCTCTCTTTGTACAACACCTGTGTAGTAACAAGAAGCATCCAAAATCACAATCACAACTCGATAATAATAATTACATCCAACATGAAGTCAAATATTTGAGTCTGCTGGAGCTCAGTCTGCTCTAACGTGCCCTAAATCTATCCCTGGATGCAATGAAGACTGGATTGCACCCATGAGGGTCTGAAGGCAGAGAGGTCTATGGTTTTATCTTAGCAGGTGCGACAAATCCAACACAGCAGCCTTCTATGTCAAATACATTTTCATGGTGGAGGAGAGCTTTTAGATGACCACTGAAGCCTGCTAGAAAGCGAGTCCCTCCCTCTTCTAAGATAACAGCGTTAAAACAGGAAACTGATAGGATTTAAAAAAGAAAAACAAACATATATCAAAGAAAAATGTGGTTGGCACAGGGGGCAAAATGGTTAAAAATATTTAGGATAATTAAAATAATTACATACATGAAGAAGTGGTAGGTCAGTAACATTGGAAAATACAGTACAGTAAAGAAGAAAAGATGGTTTTATAAGTTGATTACGTGGAAGTAATGAGTGAAATTGTTCATTTTTAATAAAGGTTAAAAAGTTCCATTTAAGTGGAGTTAAAGGGAATATTTCTTTTCCTCCACAAAATACCGAGCTAATGTGTTCTTGATTGCGTTTGACTCTTTCAACCTCAGGAGTGACAGGTGTTGGGGTTCCTGTCCCCAGCTCCTCTTTGTACAACACCTGTGGGGTAACACGGCTATATTAAAAAAGAAGAAGGAACAAGCAAACAACAGTAACACGCAGCTTGCTAAGAAAACAGACTGAATGCTTTTCAAATTCGCTCGGAGGCAAAGTTTGGACTAAAGGAGAAAAATGGAAATGCCTCTCAAAACTATACAGTGAAACACTAATACTCTGCAATACCTTTAGGCAGAAAGCTAGAATATCTTCTATATTTCCTTCTCAGGAGCTATATAGAAAAACTAACTGTGCAACAGGAGATGGTTAAAGACTTCCTAAAGGCAGAAAGTATCAAATAGGACACAAAAGGAACACAGAAATCAACTCTGTTTCATTTACCCATTCCAGAAATACTACAGCAGGTTACACTGGTGTTAGAGCACTGTTATAATGAGGTCGTAGCCACAGATTTGTATCATCAGGTGCTGAGTAGTTTAGTTCTCATAGGTAAAGTAAGTGAAATCAGGGGGAAAAAAACACCACCACACAAAACAAAACTAAGGATTGTTGAGACGAAGAAAAGGAAAACAGGGTGTTTTTTAAAAGAAAAGAAAATTAAAAAGGTAATTAGGTTCAAAAGAAAGGTGTAATTCAAACTTGTTATTAAGATGATGTAATAAAAAAAGAGGAACAAGAATGATGTAAGTAACAATTATGGAGGAAAAAAATCTCAAAGGGACCAGGATATTATTTTTTTAAGTAGGTTGATTATAAGGGAACAAGAATATTTTTTGGTGTGTTAAAAGTATTGTAAAATAGATTAAAATGGGAATTTTCCACTTTTCAAACTGAAAAATACCGAGCTAAAGTTTTCTTGATTGCGTTTGACTCTTTCAATCTCAGGAGTGACAGGTGTTGGGGTTCCTGTCCCCAGCTCCTCTTTGTACAACACCTGTGGGGTAACACGGCTATATTAAAAAAAGAAAAAGGAACGAGCAAACAACAGTAACACTCTGTTTGCTGAGAGAACACGCAGAACATGAGAGATGCTTTTCTGAGATGCCCTGAATACACATAGCGATTAAAAAATCCACAAAAAATAAAAAACTGATTTAAAACTCTGAAGTTAAACACTAAGATATTGGTATGACTTCTTCCAGAATGCTGAAATATCTTCCTAACTCACT